ACCCCAGCTTGTCCAGTATCGAGAACCCCCACCCGCCCCTACCCAGAGCTAGGACTCTCCGGAATTCGATCTGCCTCCTGTCTCAGCCCAGGGCCCAGGCGGCTCCCGGGGGAGGGGCCCCGCCCGCACCGTTTCCTAGGCGACAGGTGCCTGGCGCCCAGCTCAGGTGGCATCGTCCAGGCAACGGCCTAGAAAACCACCCCCTCGCTTCTACCTCAGCCCAGGTACGCCCTCTCCACCCCCTCCACTGAAACCGAGGGCCGGGCTGCAGTCTCTAGAGGCCCCGGGATAAAGAGCCCGTTGTGGGCGTGGGGGAGGAGCACTCAGGGCCTGGAGTGAAAGGGGAGGGGCAGGGACCGAGCACCGGGTGAGCTGACGCCCAGGACCCCTCCCATGCCCCTGGGAAGTGAGTGATTGCTCTGGTGAGATACCGCAAAGAAAGGCAACAGGGGTTAGGCCCAGGTGACTCGGGTTTCTTTGAACCCTGCCTCGGCATCAAGAAAGACGCTCTAGATAGAAACATCAATGATGAGAATCATTGACCGGCTGCCTCCGGTATGCCCCCTACTGGGGATCCAGCCCACAACCCCGGCCTGCGCCCTGACGGGGAATCAAACCGTGACCTCTTGGTTAATGGGTCGACACTCAATCACTGAGCCACACCAGCCAGGCTGGAGGTAAATAAACACACACACAAACACAACACACACACACACACAATACACAATAGCTCAACCTGCTATTTCTGCTGGCAAAGGAAAGACAAAAATTATAGCTCTTTACCTACAAGTATCATATATCAGCATTTCTTTTTATATATATATATATTTTTTAATGATTTCAGAGAGGAAGGGAGAGGGAGAGAGAGAAGCATCAATGATGAAAGAGAATCATTGATTGGCTGGCTCCTGCATGCCCCCTATTGGGGATGGAGCCCACAACCTGGGCATGTGCCCTTGACCGGAATCGAACCCAGGACCCTTCAGTTCGCAGGCTGATGCTCTATCCACTGAGCCAAACCGCCTAGGGCTGTTAGTATTTCTTTAAGCATGGTCAAATGATTTTTATATTAGTAGTTCTCATAATGTGTTATCGAGATTGATGACATGAAGAACTAACCAGTCAAAAGCTGTGTATATTGTCTTTCTAGATTTTATGGACGTCATGAGGCCAGCTCTGTAGCACAAAGGGTACCATTATATGTCCACAAATAAACCAAAATATTGATGTACAATTGATTTTTTGACAAGGATGCCAAGATCTTTCAATAGAAAAAGAAAAGTCTCTTCAACAAATGGTGCTGAGAAAATTGGAGAACCACATGCAAAAGAATGAAGTTGGAACCCTATGTAACTCCATATACAAAAATGAACTCAAAATGGACCAACAACCTAAATGTAAGGTGTAAAACTATAACTTTCAGAAGAAAATATCGGGGGATAAATCTTAATGAATTCAAATTTGGCAATGGATTTGTAGATTTCACTCCAAAAACAAAAAGAAAAGGGAAAAAAGAAAGAAAGACCCTCTTCCTCAAAACCCCTTGGAGCCCTGGCACTCCCCTTGTGGAGGGCAGCCTGGGAGTCACAGACCATGGCTCAAACCCTGCCCTACCCCACTTGGACAGATCTTAGAAAGTCAAGGTCCTTAACCTCCTTGGGTCAAAGACCCTTTTGAGAAACCTCCTGAGATCCACAAACATGAGCCCCTCATTTGTGTGTGTGTGTTGCAGGGGGCGGGTCGTGAACTCTCTTAAGCCTCTCCCTGGGTGCTGAGAATTGAGAATTATTGTGTGAAGGGGTGGGGGAGGGGGGAGGCTGATGAAAATTCCAACTTTCCAAGATGGCTGTGAGGACTCTCAAAGGCAGCCCGCGCCTGGGGGAGCCTCTCGCGTCCACGCCTCCTGAGGAGGACCGGAGGCCTGAGCACCCGGGAGGAAGTGCACTTCAACAGGTGCCCCGGGAGCTGGGAGTACCCACACCTGGTCCCTGCACCACTCTACACCCTGGGGGAGGGGAGGGCGCTGGTGCTTCCTCCTCTGCTCAATGGGGCTCTATTTATAAATAATTATTTAAAAATTTTAAAATTGATTTTAGAGACAGGAAGAGAGAGAGAGAAACATCTACCACTGTCCCACCCATTCACGCATCATTAGCGACTCCTGTATGTGCTCTGACTAGATAGCAAACCCAAAACCCTGGCCCATCTGGACAGTGCTCCAACCAACTGAGCCACCAAGCCAGGGCTATAAATGATTCTAATTTCAGATTGGTGCATTGCTCTTTAGGATAGTTTCAGAGAGGTTTATACTTTCATCAGATTTGCAAAGGGATGGTTGACCCAAAAAAGCTTAAGAACCCCTAAAATGGGGAGACTGAGGCTAGAGCTAATTGGTGGGTCTGCAAGTGAGCTGCCGTGGTTGGGGCTTCCTCTACCCCTGGTACCTGTCTCGTACCACCCCATAGGGCCGTGGGGAAGTGCTGTCCAGTAAGAGGGGCTGACTCTGGATGCCTGAGAACTGGGAGGGGGTGCTGACGACAGCAGACAGTGATGGACACGGGGAATCTTGGGTGGGTTTGTCCAGCTCCTCCGGCTTCCCGGGCCTCACATTGCATGGGGAGAGGGGGTGTCTGAGAGGAAAGGCAAATAAAAGC